CCACTGCACTCCAGTCTGGGTGACAGAGTGAGACTCCAGCTCAAAAAAGAAAAAAAAAAAGAAAGAAAGCGTGGTATCTGCTGTGCTTTGTGGATTTGTTTGGGCACATCTGCAGTGTGGCACTCCCTCTCCGCGCACACATGCAGCATCATCACAGGCCGGCAGAGGGTGCTGAGAGTTCAGACTTCTTCATCAAGTGGCTTTTCTTGCCTTCGCAGTACAAAGAGGAGCAGCTCACCACCGCCTGCGAGAAGTGGCTGGAAATGAACTTGGTCCCTCTGATGGGGACACAGATACACCTCCGAAAAATCCCACAGGACCTGCTCCAAAAAGTGCTGAGGTCCCCCAGGTCAGAGTTGGTTCTGGGGGCGCTGCCTCTGGGGCGGGTGTGGGAGGAAATGGGGACCCGTCTGGGAAGGGAGGCCCCCGTGGGGGCTGCACCCACACTCCTGCTACACATGGCCGTGTCTTCCTTTCTCCTGAGCTTCTTGCCCTCCTGGATGGCTGCGCCTTTGCTGAAACTCGAGGTGCTGAAAGCAGGGTTGAGGGGAGGGCTCCCTTTAAGCTCCTTCTGAGTAGGGACCCTCTGGGTGCCTGCTGTCTCATTACTGCCTGCAAAAAAATGAAAGACTCATTGCCTAAGTAATTTTTAGAAACTATCCTGACGACATTAACACACATTCATTATAGAAAATAAAACCTCTCGCCCTAAATCAGTTGATATCACCAACCCTGATTCTTCTGCTGAATAACTCTAGACCCAGATATTTGATGGTCTGCTTGACCGCTCTGACATGAAGTCTAAAACCCAACTCCCAGTGCTCCCCGCCCTTTACTGCACCTCACCCTAACGGCAGTATTCTCAAGCAAAAGCTTAGTGAGTCCTTCTGGATCCTTTGACCTCACCTCAACCCTCAAGTCAGTTCTATGTTCCAAACGAGCCCAGCTCCGTTGGGCTCTCTGCACAGGCAGTAGCCCCAGCTTAGACCGAACCTCCACCGTCTCTCATTTGGACCACTGGGGTGACCCCTAACACTGTCTTACTTCTGGTCTTGAGCCCCTTCCAATCCCTTCTCTAGCCAAGGGCCATTGCCAATGTTGACCTGGCTCCTTCATCTCACACATGGTGCGGCAACCACAGAAACCTTCCTGAGATTTCCCTGTTGAGCGCTTGCCCTCACTGGGCCTCTGTGCATACTGACCCTCCTGCCTGCCTGTCCCCTACCAGGTTCCTTCTCATCCTTCTGGCAACTCAGGGGACCATTCTCCAGTGCTGGACTTTTGAGACTATTTCCAGTGTTTCACAAATGTAAATAGCACCTTGGTGAACATTTCTCTTCTCAGATTATTTCCTCACATTAAATTCCTAAAAGTAAAATTACTAAGTCAAAAGGACTTTTTGTTTGTTTTTATTAGTCTTTTTAAAATATTATATTTGAAAGTAATTTCAAGCTTAAAGAAAAACTGCAAGAATAGTACAAAGAATATCTATACACCCTGTATCCTGAGTTACCCTATTCAGTTTCTGCCCTGTTTGCTTCACCATTGGTATCTATCTGAGTATCTGCATATACACATTTTTTTTTCTGATCTATTTGGGGGCAAGTTGCATCCATCATGCTCCTTTACCCCTGATGCTTCAGTGTTTTATTTCTTAAGGAAAAGAAATTTTAAAATATGACCACAGTGCAGTTATCAACTTTAAAAAATTTAACACTGATCTAATACTTTAATATTATTTACCCAATAGTGTCTTTCATATATTTCTCCAATGCAGGATCCTGTGTGTGATCACACATTATATTTAGTTGTCGTGTATCTTTGGGACTCTTTTTAAAAGGATCTTGGTACCCACTCTCAAGTTACCAAGGTTTTATTCCCTTTGGTTAAATTTCAAAAGTAAAAACGAAATTCTACTCAGCATCTTAGTAGTATATTGGAAAATAAGTGTTTACTCATTTTTATGTGGTAGAAAGCATTCTGCTTTCAGAAGTTAGACCTGGAAAAACTTACTCGACTCTTGGTTTGAATTTGCCAAATGGCATGCAATGCCCTCACATTCGAGGAGACAGAGTTCTGGCCATGAGAGAGGGAGACCATATTATCTAGGAAAACCTCAGGAGCTCCAGCCTCACGGCAGCCCAGGATACCAGGTACATTCCCAGTTTCTTTCTGCTTTGCCCCTCTCTAGTGCTCCCCCACCCCAAAGCTTACACAATTATTGAAGAAAAGATAAACATGGCATCCCTTAGACTTTCACAACACTTTGCCTCCCTTGGAAAGACTGAGCTGTCCCATGCCAGTAGCATTTAACCAAGAAAGGAGAGAGAAAAAAAAAAGAAATATTTGACCACACCAACATGTTTGTGGTGGGATAAGCCTGACAAAACATATGCTGGGCAGGAAAAGAGGTCAAGAGCATTACGTGTCAAGTGTCTAGACTCACCAGCTTGGCAGACATGACTGATGTGGAAAATGGGTCCTGCTCCTCCGGTCCCTCCCCAGGAGCTGTCTGCACAACAGACCAGGGCCATCCCAGTTCAAGGGGGAAAGAATCCTGTGTGCCCTTGGATATGTCATTGGTCCATGTGCCCTCGTTAACAGCTACCCCTGACTCTGCTTATATCACCTGAGGTTGATCTCCAGTGGCCTCCTGCTTTAAAGACTGAGGGATTCGTGACCTGCCTGGGCAGCTTGGCGAGACCTCATCTCTACAATAAATCAAAAATTAGCCGGGCGTGGTAGTGCGCGCCTGTAGTTCCAGCTACTTGGAAGGCTGAGGCGGAAGGATCGCCGGAGCCCAGCAGGTCGAGGCTGCGATGGCCGGGAACGGCCACTGCACTCCAGTCTGGGCGACAGAGTGAGACTCCAACTCAAAAAAAAAAAAAAAAAAAGCAAAAAAGCCTGAGGGAGGTGGGAGACAGGGGCACAGGAATAGTGGGGCTTATTAGATGTTTACTGGCTAGGACTCCTTCCCTTAGGGTGCTTGCTGAGTTTCAGGCTGCCAGCTGGTAGATTCAGTGCCACAGCTCACACCTGATTTAGAGTGCACCTTTCAGTGAGTTAACTTTTTGGCATGTGCTGTGCTATGTGCACTGTCTCTTTCTATACCTGCAACCCATGCAGTAGGTACAATTATTATCCCTGAGATAAGGGGGCTAGTGATGGGCAGAGCAAGGTCTCCACTGGTTTCAAAGTCCACATCTTTCCCTGAGCATAGCATCCCCCTTGGCCATGGAGGCCGTGATTTCAGCAACTAGAAGGGCACAGAAAGAAGTGGGTAGTCCCTAAGAGCCATGTGGCACCAGAGCAGGATGTGTGGCAATGCGAAAGCCCAAGGTCAGGGTGGAGTAGTTCTTGGCCCCACTTAGCTGCCCTTCCAGTCAATGACTGTGGCCAGTCCCTTAGATTGTTGTCACAGGTATTTGAGGAAACATCCACTTTTTTTTTTTTTTTTTTGTGAGTTGGAGTCTTACTCTTTCACCCAGGCTGGAGTGCAGTGGCACGCACGCTCACAGCCACGCCAGCGTCTACCTGCTGGGCTCCTATGATCTCTCCGCCTCAGCCTTCCGAGTAGCCAGAATTACAGACGTGCGCTAACACGCCCAGTTATTTTTAATTTTATTGTAGAGACAAGGGCTCATCAAGTTGCCTGAGCTGGTCTCGAACCCGCAGGCTCAGGCAATCCACTTGCCTCGGCCTCCCAAAGTGCTGGGATTACAGGCTGAGCCACTGAGCCTGGCCACAACATTCATTTCTTAGCAGATGCTTCAACTTCTGGGCCATTCAGCTGTCCCTGTCTAAAGACCCTTGACCACATCTTCCTCTGGGTTTTGCTTTCCATTTTATAAACCACCTGGGGTAAAATATACACAGTTTTCCTGACCTTCTGGGTCTCTGGTTTTAATTTATTTGCCTGGCATTTGGTTTCCAGTTAATTTTCTTCTTAGAGGTCACTGCTAGGTTACCCTGTTCTACTGACTCTAATATTAAGAAACCTTCAGTCCAAGTTCTGTTTCCTTGGAAGCCAAGCTCCTGTGGGTTTAGGAGGATGGAGCCCTCAGAAGGCTCTCTAGCTCCCATCTATGCAAAAGGCTGCCTTGCAGTTGGAGTGATGCATCCCTCGTGTTTCCAATTCTCCTGATATCCTGTCTATGATCCGAGGAGTCTCCAGGTCTTAAGAATTCCCTAAGAAGAGCTACCCACATCCTTCTTGTTGTGCTAGTCCCATGGTTTGTCCTCCAGCACGGGATGTGGTTCCCACTGGTGTCCAGAGTATCTCTGGGCATCGTCTCAAATGTAATAGTTCTTGAACCAGGTAGCTTCTTTGGTTACTAATAATCATACCTGCCAATTATTAGGCACTAGTTGTATGCAGAACACTCTGAGTAGATTATCCTGACTAATTCCTATAGCAACCCAATGAGGTGGGTAGGATTACCTGCGTTTTTTGCCTGTGGAATGGAGATTACAGGAAATGAAGAGATCAGCCTAAGGTCTCCTCATGCAACCTGAGAGTTGGGATTTGAACCCAAGTCTGAATGGCCCATGGTTGTTACCAGGCCACTGCTGTGCTCTGCATGAAGACTTCTTTTTTCTTATTGGTGGTTAAGATTAATAAGGATATTATTATTTTTTATTATAAAAAAGATTTACAAAGGTAGGATGATAATCAAAACATAGTTGTAGCCGGGCTCGGTGGTTCAGCCTGTAATCCCACGCTTTGAGAGGCTGAGGTGAGTGGATTGCCTGAGCCCGTGGGTTCGAGACCCGCCTGGGCAACTTGGTGAGACCTCATCTCTACAATAAATCAAAAATTAGCCAGGCGTGGCAGCGCACGCCTGTAGTTCTGGCTACTGGGAAGGCTGAGACGGAAGGATTGCTGGAGCCCAGCAGGTCAAGGGTACAGTGGCCGGGAGCAGCCACTGCACTCCAGTCTGGGCTACACAGTGAGACTCCAACTCAAAAAAAAAAAAGATTTACAAAGGTAGGATGATAATCAAAACACAGTTGTACTCATCTCTCCAAGTGAACAAATATTAATATTTTATCTTAAATTAAGATATCAAACATTACCCACATCCATGTTTCTCTCCCCAGTCCTACCTCTTTCCTCATTTTCTGCCTTCCTTCCCTCCTAAAGACAGTTAAATCACCGTCAGGAACTTGTGCAGATTCAATTCACATGTTTCTACTCTTATTACATATGTGCGCATCCATTAATAATGTTGATTTGCAAAGATCTAAACTTCAAATCAGTGTTGTCATAGTGATTGTAGCATTCTGTAACTTATTCACTAACCTCATGTGTTGTGTTCTCTCTGTGCTGATATTTACATATCTAATTAGCATTTTACATTTTAATTGTTGTACAGTGTTCTATCAAATGAATACACAACAATCTTTTTTCATTCTCTTTTCAATGACCTTTTATTTTATTTTATTTTTTGCTGTGACAAATGCTGCAATGGGCATCCTTGTTCATTTTTTTTTAAGTTTGAGACTTAATTTAGTATGTTACTTTAAAGCTTAACCAGTGGTATACCAAAATAAAATAAATCTCAGTTGAAAATTACATTGAATGTTATCTATTTTAACTGTAAAATCTTATTACTGTCTAGTATATAACTTAATAGGAAACTCATTTTTAACTTGCAAATCTTTAATGTCTGTCTTTTTTTTTCTTTTTTTTTTGAGTTGGAGTCTCATTCGGTCGCCCAGACCGCAGCCTTGCCTGCTGGGCTCCGGCGATCCTTCCGCCTCAGTCTTCCAAGTAGCCGGAATTACAGGCATGCGCTACCACGCCCGGCTGATTTTTTGATTTTATTGTGGAGATGAGGTCTCACCTGCCCAGGCGGGTCTCGAACCCGTGGGCTCAGGCAATCCACTCACCTCAGCCCCCCAACGTGCGGGATTACAGGCTGAGCCAGGAGGTATACGAGCACGTTTGCCACATGGACGTACAGTGTAGTGGTGGGGATTTGGTCACAGGTCTCGGGCCTATTTTCCAGAGAGTGCCGTGTTTATTCCTTATGACTTTCTCTATGGTCTGTATTCAAAAGGGGACTTTTATTGTTTATATATAATTTTCTTATAAAAATAAATAGAGAACAGTGTCTTGTGAAAAGTATTTTTTTCTCCTAAAGAACAAATACCAGGCCAGGCTCAGTGACTCAGCCTGTAATCCCAGCACTTTGGGAGGCCAAGGTGAGTGGATTGCCCGAGCCCGTGGGTTCAAGACCAGCCTGGGGAACTTGGCAAGACCTCGCCTCTATAATAAATTTTAAAAAGAAAATTTAGCCGTGCATGGTAGCGCATGCCTGTAGTTCCAGCTACTTGAAAGGCTGAGGTGAAATGATCGCCAGAGCCCAGCAGGTGGACACTGGGATGGCCGCAAGCATGCTACTGTACTCCAGCCTGGGTGACAGAGTGAGGCTCCAACTAAAAAAATAAAATAAAATAAAAGAACAAATACTAGTTAGATTTCAATGGCTGTGAGCGAACACCAGTAGACACACAGGCATGCTTACTGTTCTCCTGTGCTGGTTGTGAGTTTTGTCTTGATAGAGACCATCAGAGCTCTTTGGTCAATGAAAATATGTTTGAATGTCCTTGGAGTGCTTATTTATTGCAGGGACTAACATTTTCAGATACTGATAGTGGCCTAAAGGCAGAAAAGCCAATTGCTGTTCATAAATAAAACCCGGGTTCTGATTCATGGAGCTCCTGAGTGCTCCCCTATGTTGCTCCTGACCTCTCTTTAGTAAGATCTCAAAGCACCTTCTGGGTTTGAGAACCTCAAGTGTGGAGTCTACACTGGAACTCACAACACTTCCCAGGCCCAGCTGACAAAGTTCTTTGTGGGAACATCATACCAGATAGCTCTTGGGAAAGTCTCCCCTTCTGCCTCACCGTGATTGCCCAGACAGTGATAAACTTGGTCCTGTCTGGCCAGGGTCAAGCCTATGCCTCTGTAGATGGCCTGACAACCAAAGAAGAGAAAGAGATGGCTCTCCTCTGTCCAGAAATAGCATGAGAGGTGGGTGGCATTTCATTGTCTTTAGAGTCATGATTTAGCTTGGGTTCTACCCACCATGACCGTTTGCAGTGATAAATGAGGCTGTGGTGTATTTTAAGGCCAGGGTACTGTGTCCATTGTCAGGGACTGAAGATATCAACATGTTTAAGGTGTCTGGGAAATGTCTGCGCCTACAAAGTTGACATTACAGGGACAGCAGCTGCTCTCAGGCATCGCTTATTTCTTGAGGAGATGCCTCATGCTATCGTGGGCATAGCTCAGCTCTGGAGCCAGGACCCAGTCCTGCCTCTTATGAATAAGAGCTGGCACTCGATATAAGTGCAGTTGGCAGAATAACGACCCTACAGACGTCCACATCTCAATCCCTGGAACCTGTGAATATGTTCGTTTTTATGGCAAAGGGTCATTAAGGCTGCAGATGGAACTAAGGTTGATAATCAGCTGACTTTAAAATGAGATTATCCTGGATTATCTGGGTGGTCCCAATGTGATCCCAGGTATCCTTTAAATGTGGAGAGGGAGGCTGATGAGTCAGAACCAGAGAGATTTGAAGCGGATGTGCTGCTGGCTTGAAGACTGAGGAAGAGGCTACAAGTCAAGGAATGCAGGTGGCTTCCAGATGCAGGAAAAGGCAAGGAAACAATTTCCCCCGGGGCTTCCAGAAGGAACCCCACCCTGTTGACACCTTGATCTTAGCTCATTTTGTACTTCTGACCTATGAGATAATAAATTTGTGTTGTTTTAAGCCACATGGTTTGTGACACTTTATTACAGCAGCACTAGGAAACCCAGACAGTGTGTTGGCTCCTCCCTCCTCCCCACGATCATGTGAGCAGCTGCTGTGATCACTCTTTCACAGATGAGGAAATCACAGCTGCAGGGCCACGAAGCGGCTTATAGGAGGTTCCAGCCCGTTTGGGGCAGAACTGAGATTCGAAACTGTCCCATACCCAGGGCTGAGCCCAGAATTATGTGACCTTTGATAAGTTATTTGGGTTTCGGCCCTCAATCAGGGCCAGACTGCCATGAGACAGTGAGGCATTCACCTTGGGTGCAGAAGTTAAAGGGGCACTGAAAAAACTCAGTCATCACGATAAAGTATATTTTTGCGAATTCTTTTAGGACAAAATTAATGCAAATAAGCCCCCAAATTTTACAATAAACATAGGGTTAGTCTCAATGTCTACCTCTATAAAAGTAAGGACTATATCCCAACTTTGCGGGACTGTTGTGTAGAACTGAATAAAAGAGTCTACAGAAAACACCTGGGAACACTCGGCACTAGCCGGAGCTCATTAAATGATGATCACTGTTTTGCAGGGGCACCACGGGGGGGATGCAAACACAGGCCCCAGGATTAGTTTGCTGAGATTCTAATCCCAGCTCTGCCATTTACCAGCTGAGTGACCTTGAACGTCTCTCTGAGGCTACCCACAGATTCAAGGGTGGTGTTGCCTTGTTCCTAGACTCACTGTAATTCCATTGTCTTGAAAACAGCCTTTTTTTTTTTTTTTTTTTTTGCTAGTTCTAAAATTTTCTCTCTCTTTTTTTTTATTTTTTAATTTTGACCAGGTTGTTTACCTTCAGTGAATTTCATCTTCTGAAAACAATTCTTTTATGGGTCTTCTTGCAACTGAACAACAAAATTCAGGCAATTCCGATTCATGAAACCGTGCTGGCATTTTTTACCAGGTAACATAACTTAGTGTTGATTGATGAAATGTATATACTTTTTTTTTTTTGCTTGTAATATCATGGGGGAAAGCATCAGTGGTGAAATTTTTCATAGCATTATTCCAAGTGCAGTTTTCTTTATGGGGCCTAAGGTTAAGGGGTGCCTTCAAACCACTAAATTACTTGGAAAAGTAAATAGCATGTAGGTGTTATAATATGAGATAATCATGTGTTTCTCGGAACTAGTAGTGTGTCCAGTAATAAGCATGATGCAAAAGGCGCTCTTTCTGTTCAGGAAAATTACCATGCTACACTGACCTTTAAAACTTCATTTTTAATGTGCCTGCATTAGATCAGGCCATTCTCATTTATATTTCACTAGATAGCATATAAAACACTGGTTTTTCTGGACAAATAAAAAAGGTATTTGAATGTAAAAAGATTTCACAGCATTTATACAGTTTCTTATACTCTCTAAACTTATAAATTTGAAAAGAAAAATAACAGTTACAGTAATAATAGTGGGCACCTTTTTTTTTTTGAGTTGGAGTTTCACTCCGCTCCCGGCCACTGCAGCCTCGACCTGCTAGGCTCTGGCGATCCTTCCACCTCAGCCTTCCAAGTAGCTGGAGCTACAGGCGCACACTACCACGCCTGGCTAATTTTTTTATGTATTGTAGAGATGAGGTCTCGCCAAGTTGCCCAGGCTGGTCTCGAACCCATGGGCGCAGGCAGTCCACTCACCTCAGCCTCCCAAGGTGCGGGATTACAGGCTGAGCCATCGAGCCCGGCTAGTGAGAACCTTTTAAATAAGCTTTGCTAAATGCAGCAACTCTGATAAGCACAATCTACTTATCTCATTTAATTTACATAGTACTAAATGAGGGACTGGATTTTTATTATTCCCATTTTATAGATGAGGAAACTGAGCTAGAGATGAAATATCTTGTCAGATAACATCAGGTGGTAAGGGACGAAGCCTGACTTGTACCCAGATGTACCAAAGCCCAATTGCTGGCAGATGGGATTCCCCTTCTGTGCCCGCTAAAGTTGATTTGCTAGTAGCTCCCAGGGCACGGGATTTAGAAAGATTCTGAGGCTGCCTTTATTTTTTATTTTTTAATTTTTTTTTAGTTGGAGTCTCACTCTGTTGCCCAGACTGGAGTGCAGTGGCCATTTCCGGCCACCGCAACCTTGACCTGCTGGGCTCCAGCGATCCTTCTGCCTCAGCCTTCCACGTAGCTGGAACTACAGGCGCACACCACCACGCCCGGCTGGTTTTTTGATTTATTGTAGAGATGAGGTCTTGCCAAGTTGCCTAGGCGTGTCTCGAACCCGCGGGCTCAGGCAATCCTCTCACCTCAGCCTCCCAAAGGCGCGGGATTACAGGCTGAGCCACCGAGCCCGGCTTGAGGCTGCCTTTAGATCTCGTGTTGTTGTCAGCCAAGGACTTCAAAAATGGCCGTGCAGTGTTTTCTGTCTGTTCAATAAATAGGGTCTATTAGCAACGCATGCTGCAGCGGTGTGGGGTTGGGAGAGCAGGCTGGGGTGAGGATGAAAGGGGCGGTCGATGGGCTCCACTCTGTGCCTCCTTAGCTTCTGTTACAACTTTGCAAAATATGCTCATGTCTCCCAAGCTGGCTGTGGAGTATGGCAGCCCCATAACCAAAGACAGTCCCAGGCGGCCCTTGGAAGAGCTGCCCTAGACCGGAAGCCACCAGCAGCATCGCTTTCATTGTCAGGTTTACGTTTCTGTTCCCCACGCCGGCAAAAGGGGGGTTTCCAAGCATGATAAGGCGTGTTCAAAGAAAGATACAAAAGAAATTTTTGCACATTTGAGTGTAGCAGATAAACACGTCTTCACGTATTAATCAGCAGATTGACCTGTTTAAACCAGGTTTCATTTGCATTGTTTTGAAGCATTCAATCCATTCCTGGAACATCTGTGTCCCATGTTAACTAAAAAGCCAGCTTTGTTCCTGTCTCGTTATTTGAGGAAAGCAGTATTCAGTGCCGGAATTATATGTGCTTTGCTTAGTTTCCATATAATTATCTTTGAACCCAAATGTTTTAACCCCCCCTTTCCCCACTCTTTTAATAGCCTATGAGACAGTTTTTCCAATGAGTCATGCCCACCAGGAGAAATTGCTATTTGGCTTCAGGTCAAATGCTCGTACTGGAAACGTCTTAGCACTGGGAGATAGGAAAAGAGCTAAACGTGATGATTCATTGGAGCTGTGTTTTTAATGCAAGAGAAACAAGTGGGAAGAAGGGAGCCAAGATGTGTGACCCCTCCACTGAAGGTGGGGTTTCTGCGGCCTTCCATAGCACTCCTGAGTTGGGGACCCCAAGGGTCGCCCAGAGTGGAAGGCACATGGGTATTTCTTGCCATTTTCCTCTTGTATCTTTTGACCCCAAACCTCACACTTCCACACAGCATTTCCCCAAGCTCCCAACCCCACGCGGTTTTCCTTGTTGGGAACTATTTGCTTCCTCTCAAATCTTGTCAGTACCCTGCCTTAACAACGATGATAAACCGGGCTCGGTGGCTCAGCCTGTAATCCCGTGCTTTGGGAGGCCGAGGTGAGTGGATTGCCTGAGCCCGCGGGTTCGAGACCCGCCTGGGCAAATTGACGAACCCTCATCTCTACAATAAATCAAAAAACCAGCTGGGCGTGGTAGCGCGCGCCTGTAATTCCAGCTACTTGGAAGGCTGAGGCGGAAGGATCGCCAGAGCCCAGCAGGTCGAGGCTGCAGTGGCCGGGAGCAGCCACTGCACTCCAGTCTGGGCGGCAGAGTGAGACTCCAACTCAAAAAAAAAAAAAAAAAAACGATGATAGATCAGCCAGCACCTAATGTGTCCCTTCCCTCCCTGCTCCCTTGTTCCCCTTGTGCGCTCTTCTATCTCCATCAAGTCTCGGTCCTACTGGAAGAAAAGATGGGAAAGTATGGAGCTTGAACAGTCTCCCCTGCAGCCACCCAGGCCTACTCTGCCAGCATGGTGGACCCTCAGTCAGGCCAATTTTTAGAATTGTGAATGCTTCTCCTTTAGCCCAGCTCCCTCTTCTGCTCCAGAGTGGTGGCACCTCTAAGTTGCACCCTTGGCAGTGGCCTCACCTCCCAAATGTGTCTCCTGAGTTCTGCCTGGGCTCCTTCACCTGGGGTCAGCCCTGGCTCCTCCTGCTCCTCCCAACCCCTCCTGCCCAGTCTCCTTTTCAGTCTGTCCATGACAGATGGCTCCCAGCAAGTCTCTCTGCCCAGTTCCTTATGAGCCTCTTGGTTCATGTATATGACCTACCTCCCCAGGTATGTCATAAGCAGTGTAAAGAAATGGCATCTGAGGAAGGCTGGGCACTGTGGCTCACACCTATAATCCCAAGCACTTTGGGAGGCTGAGGCGGGAGGATTGCTTGAGTCCAGAAGTTCAAGACCAGCTGGGAAATATAGCAATACCTCAACTCTACAAACAAAACAAAACAACACACACACAAAAGAGAGGGCTTCTGATTCTTTGTCTCACCCCCCACTTAGCCTGGCATCTTGTTGGACAAATGATAGCTTATTGAATGATAAGCTTCCATCAAACATTTTTATATAGGTCGAGTCCCCTTCAGAGATATTGGGTCTTCATATGCTGTTGCAAAATTCAGAGAACACCATATGTGTGTGGCAACTTGAAGTCATGGGGATCACAGACAAATTTCCATTTTAATTGACAGTGCCTGTTGGATGCACGGGACTGATAAGCTTTTCTCTAAGCTCTGTGAGGAGGAATGTTGTGGTAGGTGGTGGTGTCTACTATGGACACAGGAGTGGAGATTGGTATGGCACCCATTCTTCTTGGCTGCCATTCCCTCCCGAGGAGCCTCAGTGGCAGTGGAAGGCCTTGTAGCAGCTGGCCTCATGGGCTGGTGGCCAGAGGGTTCTAGCTGCCACAAGGTACCTCTGTCCCCCATGAAGGTGGAGAGAGCCTCACGGTCAACCTGGGCCAGTACTGGGTCAACTTGAAGCTACTGGGTCAAGTTGAGCTACAAAGTTCAGTAAGGTCAAAGGGAACACCTAGTCAAGGAAGTGTCAGTGCTCACTGACAAGGACACACCAGGAACATTTAAAGATGAGACAGAGGAGTAGACTCTCAGAAAGACAGTAAGTAGACTTGGAAATGACAACTTAGGAAGTTGACTATTTGGCCCACGTTTTAGAACTGCAAATATTCATGAAATAATTGAGCTGACAGAGGGATCTATGAAGTATCTCCTTATTTTCTAGGGAAGGGGACTTCTTGAAGCCATCACATTATGGAGACTATATTTTCATAATGTGGCAGCAGGTGTCAATAAAATGTAATCGTTTACTGTATAGAGATCTGGCTTGCCTTTTGCTGTATTTTTTCCTAAGGGTGCAAATATTAAAGCTCAAGGCCCTGTGAGCCTACTAGGAATGAGGCTGAGCTACACCTGTGAGCGCGTCCTTAGCCAGACCAGCATCCGGAGAGCAGGGTCAAGAGCGGTCACCGAGTAAAATGGGTCAGGTGCCCCTTCTCTCATCTGTCTCAGCAGCGTCTGGAAGACAAGCTAGGAGGGAATGTAGTTGGATAATTAACTTCTCTAGTGACGACTACAATTACCTGCAAATAAAAACGGGCATCCAAGCCTTTTCTACTTTCAGTCTTTCATTCACCTAATAAATATTTATTGAACGTGTATTTTGTGCCTGGGACACTAATGGAACATTGAAGGGACAGTTTCTCTACCAAGCCAGATGGTTAGGAACAACTTCAGGCTGATTTTTACTGATGTCTAAGAACATCAGCGTTGGAAGGGAGTGTGGGCACACACACACATACACACATGCAGAAACACACACATATGTTTACTTAAAGCCATATACAGTTGCACACATGTAAGCAAACATACCCACACCTCTCTGCACCCTGCAGCCTGTTTTCCTGGCAATGGTTATTTTAGAAAAACAAATTTTGTCCAGAATTAAATTTAACATCCCCTTGTAGAAAAAAA